CTCTCTCTCTCTCTCTTACTTCTAAACGACTATGTGTTTTATCACACTTGACAAGTTGATCGTTCTTCTCGATGTATGTGTGTTATAATTTCTGGTTAATGACATATACAGTAGAACGACAATTCACGCGTCCCGCTAGCATTCATTACTATGTTTGAATATGTATGTTGCTTTTAATTCATCGATGAATTATAAGTTGAGGCTGAACACTCATTGCAACAGATCGGTCAAATAGGCTTGTTAACATGCAATCTTACATATTCTTTCTGATTTCTTTTATCGTGTGCATTCAAAAAAAAAATTTTTTTAATGAAGATTCTTCGATTTCTTCTTTTTTTATTTTATTTGATCGATCAGAAAAACTTTTGTATGTCAATAATCTACACCTGATAAGCTGTTGTGTCGTGTCGTGCCGTGCTTCGGCTAACAGAAGGATGATTGATTGGTTTCAAGGATCGAGGCGAGCTTTGTCGTCTTCTTTCTTTTCCTTTTCTTTTTTTTCTTCTTCTTCTTCTTCTTCTGTTTCTTTCTTTATCGACTCGTTTCTCATTCTTTACTTCATTCTACACCATCACACTGCCTTTTTGATTCTATATGTATGTATGTGTGTGTGTGTGTGTGTGTATGTGTGCAAGAAATAGGGCAAGAGCGAGAATAAGCAAAAAGAGTTGTAGTCGTTGTCGACGGCATGATTTCCGTTCAGTCATCTAGAAGAAAACTAAATTAGTTGATGCTTTTTGTTGTTTTTATCAGAAAAGAAAAGAAAAACTATATAAAAAAAAATATATATATATATCTATATATGTTATTTCATCTATTCAAGAGAGTAACAATCAAATATTATCAATCAAAGATAAACATACACAAAAGATTCTGATATAATACAAGATCCAAATATTATTAATCGTGAACTATTCGAATCGGAAATCAAAAAATTCTATCCGGCCGCACACATTAAGTAAGAAGAATATTTAAAATCTTATTGACTTGATTACAGAATAGAACATAAAAAAAAAACGCGCGAGAAAAAAAAGAAAAAATAACAACCAACAACTGTAATCTCTTGACAAGGAAAAGAGAACAAAGAATGCCTATTTACTGCGTACACACATTTATCTATCTATCTATCTACATACATACATATATATATATATATATATAAAGATTTGTTTTGTCTATATAAACATTTTCTTATTTAATTCAGAGGTCGGTGCCGTGCTGCTTGCTATTGAAGAAAGTTCGTGCATTGAAAACTCGATCCGGATACATTCTTTTATATTTTAACATACGATCCAATAGCACGCAGACTGGCGAACACGCAAGGTGAAATACGTGTAGGCCCATCTCATCAAGCCAAATTACCACTTTTAAAAGTGTTTTCATCATCCTTATCAAACAACAACAATAATACTAATGATGATGTTTGTTCATTACGTGAAGAATTATTATGGAAAAATACAACTAATGATCTTGATTTATCTGTCTATTTACAAGCAGCACGATCTATTGCAGCATTTGCTGGCATGTGTGATCGAGGTTTAGCTGAAGATATGTATGAAGTAGCTCAACGAGATGATACAACAATAAATGCTTTAACTGTCTTACATAATCATGATTATGATTGTAAACGTGCTATACAAACACTTGTTAAATGTCCTATACCGAAAGGCATTGATCGAAAATGGTTAGAAGATGATCAAAAAAAATTTATTAAAGGTTTACGACAATATGGAAAGAATTTTTTTCGTATACGTAAAGAACTTTTACCACATAAACAAACATCTGATCTTGTCGAATTTTATTATTTATGGAAAAAAACTCCACAAGCACAATCAAGTCGTCCACGACGACGACAACGTCCATGTTCAACATTAGCTAATCTTTCGACGACACCTACACCAACGAAACAACGTAATACAAAAAATAATACAAAAGATGAATCCGATGATGATAATCAAACAACGACAGATCTTGATGAACAAACATGTCGTCATTGTCAAATAATATCGAAAGATTTACAAATAATTGGACGTGATAATCAATTAGTATGTTATGATTGTCGAATCTATTATAAACGATATGGTGAAATGCCCGTTGTAAATCTTGAAAGTTCATCACCATATTTATTTAAACCATTAAATGATACAAGTTCAAGTACGGGTAAACGAAAACGAACAAAAGCACCACAATCACCAGATGAAAATAATTCGTCATTAACACGTTCAAGAAAGAAAACTCGTATTAGTGAAAAAATAACATCAATTAAACAAGAAATTGAAGAAAGAGAAGAAATTATAATAAAAAAAGAAGAACAAGAAAACGAAAAACCATCATCCTTATCATCATCATCGTCATCGTCATCATCATCATCATCATCATCATCGTCATCTGCGTCAACAAATACTTCACTTCATATTAAAACAGAAGATTTAAATTCAACAATTCTTACACCAACACCATGTAAACAAGAATTACATTCTCCAACGACAACTATTTCAAATAATAATAATACATCAAAAATTCCTATTGATCAAACAAAACAAAATAGTACGAATGTATTATTATCTTCGCCATCATCAGCATTTTCACGTACATTAAAAAAATCTTTAATATCAAAAGATTCTGATGAATTTGATTCATCATTAAAATCAAATACAAATCTTAATGGTAATGTAATACCAACAGTATCATTAAAAGATAATGATCTATCAAATGATGATGGAAATATATCAGATAATTCAACAAATACTAATCAAGAAGTCATTTCTGATGAAGGACCAACACCATTAATATGTGAAAAAGGTTAGTGAAAAAAATATATTTTTTAAATTTGATTATATATATTTTTCTTTTTCCTATAGAATGTTATAATAAATCTCAAGGGATTATTTTACTACAAGTTTATGATCGATCAATTTCACAAAATTCTTGTGCACGAACGGATATTATTCTCAAACGTGGTTCACGTACACATAAAAAACAAACTGAGCAACAACAACAACAACCACAACGTCAACAACAAAATGATGCACCATCATCTACTACTACAATTACGAGTATTAAACAGGAAGATAAAAGCTTATCAGTATGTCAACAATAAATAAAGAAAGAAATATTTAGTTTAAATGTTTTTACTTTTCTAGAAATCATCGTTTTCTTTGGATAAAGGACAATCAATTCATCATTCATCTGGTCCACCACTAACGCCATTTTCACATCATGAACAATTATTAATGAATCATAATAGTCCACTTTTTCATCCATTACCATTACATGCGATGGGTGGTGGACCAAAGCCACATTTAGGCTTTCATTTACCATTTGGTCCATCACCACATGATAATGCTGCATTACGGCATCTTGATGCATTAGGTTTACGTACGATGAATCCTTCAGCACCTAATGCTGCTCAACTTTTTGCTGCTCAGTCATCTTTCGCTAATAGTATTGGACGAGCAAATCCTGCTGGTTTTGATCCAGCGACAGCTGCTCTGTTATTTGATCCTCGTTATCGCAGTATGATGTCATCTTTTGGTAATATATCACCTTCATCACCATCGAATAATTCATCATCAACAGCACCTAATAATGGATCACATAGTCATGCTCATGTTCACTCACATTCACATACACATTTACATTTGAATAATGGAAATGATTCACCATCATCATCAAACATTTCAAATGGTCCATCGCTACCTCCACCACCTCTACTACCATTTGGAAATCAATTTTCAGGTAAAAATATTTATTTTCAATTATTTATTCGATATACATATTGATTTTCTATTAGGTTTGTCTCATGGCAATCCATTGTTACATCCCGGTGGACCATTACCACCGTCAAGTCTTGAAGTAATGCATAATTTAACACGTGAACGTGAATTAATGTCATTAATGATGGCTAATAATAATCGATACGATCCAATGTCATTAGCACTTGCAAATTCATTTCAGGTATACATATATATTTACTAATAACTACAGAATAGTTTAAGTTATTTTATCTTCTTTTTAGATGCCACGTCTTGATGAAATTTCTCGAATGAATGCAAGAGAACGATCTATACGTGAACATAATGAAAATGAACTTCGTCGAATAAGTTTAGATATGGAAAGACAACAATTTCGTTTTCCATTTCATCATCAACCTGATGAATTACTCCGGTAAATAAAATATAATTTTCTTATTTTGAATTAATTTATATTAGTTTTAGGCGCTATTAAAATGTATCGATTTATCATACTCTAAACAGTGTTTCAACAGTGAATACAGAAAAGAAAATATTTGTTTTTCTCAAAGATATTTATCATCTAATCATTTCTAATATTCATATAGATTAGTGTTGCTTCTTCCGTCTGTTATTTAAAAAAAGTTTACCTTCGTACTCGGTGCTTTTACGCCGTATTGTCATATTATTTCTAAAAAAATATTGTACAAACGATTTTCGTTTCTTTCTTTTTCTTATATTTGTTGTGCTAGTTTGTTGTATCGGTATGTTTTGTTTTTTCTCTTTTCTTTTTTTTTTCGAAAGTATTTTGTTTTTGGATGGAACTAAAACGGTCTTATATTTCTTATGTTATATACATATTAAATTAATATGAGATGATATAATATTCAATTATTAATTCGAATATTCGTATCAATACGTCGAGAACTTTTGTTCAGAAGATGAAACATAAACTGTGTATAGTTCATTGAAGTCATAGAACATCTCACGATCATTGAGAGTACTTCAAATCGGCAATATACATGAAACGATTATTAAAAAACTGGCATAGAATAAATGTTTACTCTATAGTTGCTAGGATACCAATGATAGTAAGTCTCAGATTGATCCTTATAGTTCTTCGATAGATTTTTGTAATTCATAATAGAACCGGCCTTCTGCATATTAACGTTTTACTCATAGTAGATATTTTTGATTTGATATTCTATTAAAAATATATTGATTTTCTCCTTGTGTTCTTTATCTACCATTCAATCATTCTCTACGGTAATTATTTACAGTAACAATCATGAAATTAAATGAAGATGACATTCAGTACCATAATATAATTCAGCTTTTCATTGATATTGCCTATTTATTTAATGGAAATACGAATCTGATGAGATTATAAAATTTGAAATTTAATAATACCAAAATTTCTGGTTGAAATAAATAAGCACCGATGAAAATGCTTTCTCAATTGTTTGCTTATATAAGTTTGCATTTCTAAATCTTAATTAACGTTGTAAAATTATTACCATTACAAGAACCAGTATGTAAATCTGATATTTTCTCATTCACAATCAGACTTGTATGACTAACTCTATTCGAGTTACAACACAAACAAATATATATGTTATTTTTTTTTACTGCTATTCAGTAACAGCTTGAATTATTATCAAATTGATAAAATGACATTGAATGATTATTTATATTCATACTCAAAATAGACACAATCTATACTATTAATCGAACATTAAATATGATTTTATAATAGAATGAAGTATTTGAAAAAAAATCCATTAAATGAATTTTTTTGTATATATTTATAATGTCTACATAAAAGAAACGTTAAAAGTAAAGTTACTATGGTGTTATTAGAAACCATACATATTTGCTTTGAAGAAAAATGCAACATCAACTTATATATAGAAATAAGGTCAGATGAGAATTGCAATGAAATATATGTAATTATTGAAATGTATTACCAACAATTATAACAACTTTTGTAATCATGTAATAGAAATTGATTGTTTGATATTGTATTTTTGTATCATATAAAAAAGAGAATATGTGGATATGTTAAAAAAATAAAAACCATGTTAGTTTAAGGCTTATATAGCTTCTTTATTAGTGTAGAAATATATATATATACCAAAGTTATTTACTGTACGAATGTCTATTTTATTATCGTTCTGTTTCGAGAAAAGAGAGAAAAAAAAGGAACTGTGATGAGTCATCTGAAATAACAAACGTAGAAAGCTAATACGCGTCTTATTTCTTTTTTTTACCGAATAATAAAGTAAAAAGAAAATATAAGGAGTATAATACTGTTTTTTAAAAATTTCTATGGGACAGAGTTCTACTCATTTAAATAGTCAAATGCAACAACAAGAAACCTCAATTCCGTTATGGAAATATGATAAAGAAAGGCATGGATGGTCACAAAAACAATGTAATACTACAGATTCTTCAAACAAGGAATGGAATCAATTTCGTGTAGTTACATACAATGTTTGGTTTTCTGATAAATATCAACCAATGCGGGTTCAAAATCTTTCTGATATATTGAATAAATCCAATGCTCAAGTAATTGCTTTACAAGAAAGTTTGTTGTCATTTCCTCTGATTGAATTCCAAATATAATTTTTTTCATATTTAGTGACAAAAAATATTCTTCAACATTTATTAGCACAACCATTTGTTCAAGAAAGATATTATATATCAGATGGTGATGGTCGTACATTCAATGGTTGGTATGGTGTAGTCTTATTAATTGATATTCATCTTCATGTTTCACGTTTAAATCTAATTAATTTTCCACAATCGAATATGGGTCGTCGTTTAGTACTTGCTGAAATAAAATTAGATAATAATGAAATACTTCGTATTGGTACTGTTCATTTAGAATCTTTAAACAATGCACCACAACGATTATGTCAGTTAAATATATGTCAGAATGCATTTAACCGTTCTCCGGGCACATGTATTTTGATGGGTGATTTTAATTTTCATGCCCAAGGTCAAGAAAATATTGATCAATTCAAAGCATTACCTGGATGGATTGATGTATGGACGAATATAATGGGTATTGACAATCGTGGTTATACATTTGATACAGAAACAAATTCAATGACAAAACTTCATAATGGAGGAGCAGATCAATCGAGATATGATCGAATTATTCTACGAAGTAATACACTGATTCCAACTGAAATTGAAATCTTAGGTAATAAAAGTATTGGTATTGAAGAAGATTTACATATATTTCCATCGGATCATTTTGGTTTAACAGCTGTATTTGAAAAGAGAAACTAAAACGCTAATAATGAAACTATTCTATATATAATTATGTATTTTATTGCATTATTCATTAATAAAGATACTTTTCTTATAACAACTGTTATCTCTTATTACGATGTAGTTAGGAGACAAACTTCTCATTTTATTTAAAAAAGACTGATGTATTTATATATGGATAAACACATACCTCGAACATATTACAAATAGTTATATCTAAGTGAAATCATACCTAGAACATAGTACACTCATAGATTAGTGATTACAAATAGATATATCTAAGTGTTATTACCTAGATCATACCTCGAGAAGATATGATAAGCTGATATATATAGGACAACATTATGATGTGATCTAGGGATCAGATCATAACAACGACCATGTTTATTTCCAAATGAATTGATTATCAAAACGATGTCATTTACGTCTATATCTAGAGCTTTTTCTTTCGTATATAAACTCATGATTTCTATTTTTATAGTAATAATTAGATAGAGCTTGTTAAGTTGTATAATAAATAATGTCTTTTAAATATTCAAAGAGAATTTCATCTTAACATTCTTCGAATCTGTTTACTATCGCTTATTTCCTCTTTGCTATGGTTGATATTTTAAGTCAAATACCTGATGTACATATATACATCATCGAAAGTGAGCGAATAAAAATTTATGCTGACATGTGAGAACTTGACAAGCGTCATCTGACTATCATGAAAGAAAATTCTTTTGAAATTTCCACTCAAATGTTCATTATATATACAATAAATATTTGAATTCAAACGTGACATATGTTAAATTTGATTAGAACATTTATAACGTCTTTCAATTCTGATACCCTATCTACCATTCGGTGATAATCTTTTAAAATTGAAACAGAATTACTTTTTTTTCTTTTTAATATCAACGATCTCCATTACTAGTTTCTACAGGAAATGGATCGACTTTCATATAAAACGAAAGTTTTCTTCTTTCGGTGCATAACAGCTTCATACTTTCAATTAATTTATTTTTTCGATCGAAATTTATAAACAAATTCCTAGCATTCTCTATTAGACATATGTTGACTATCTGTTGTGAAATTTATAATAGATAAAGTTTGTTTTGATATAATAATGAATTTTTATGACACATGATGCGCAAAAAAACATAGCAGAAGAAGATGACAAAAAACTTGCACTTTCACTGATCTCAGCTAATCAGTCTTTCTACTCTATGACATACATCATTATAATTTGCCGCTAGGTTAAGTTTATTAATTTTTGGATTAGACAACTTGTTTTCCTAAGCTTGTCAAATAAACATTTTTACCTTAGTAAAAACAGTAATAGCAAAATTTAGAATTATTTTGTAGATAATATAATCGAGGCAATTCATCATCATGTTATCTATACACTAAATATGAAAGAATAATTCTAGTAATTTATATGGATTTATGAACCGTTCATTCATCACGTAATTTACTTCTATAGTCGAGTTTTTGAAGACATAAACATTCTACTACTTAAAGTTTAGTATGGAGTTTTTTCTTTCTCATCTGACTCAATCATAATGAGATATGAGTTTTATTAATGTATGGGAAAAACCAAAACATTCATTCATCTTACTAATTCTGTCACTTTAGTTTACGAATTACTTAGTAAAATAGTAAACATAATAAGAAAAGTTTATTACGCTTTGCTAGAACGAAACTATTCTGTATCCGATAAAAAGATCTTTGTTCTATATATCCCAAATGTTGCAGGATAGTTTTGTGTATTACTCGAGTTAAGTATAAATGATTTTTAATCTAAACAATTTTATATAGATATAACTGCCGGTCTGTCAATTAAGGTTATATTATAGCTGGTATAAACATGATAGTATTGACAAGAACAGAAAAATTGTACATTAAGAACAATGATAAATAATATAAACAATCTAATTGATAATCTTTATTTTTATACAAGGTTTAAATACATAAAGAATAAACATCACAAAAGATTTCTTATTAATTAAATAAACTGAAATTATTGGACGGTTTTTGTTTGTAAATTTACGTTTGAATTTTATCGGCTAAATGTCGAAGTCGAATTAGAGCTTCGACAACAAAAATAAGACATGCTGCAAAACCAAATGCCTATAGAAATATAATTTGAAAATATATAAACAAAATCATTTAATTAGATAAAATAACTTACAGCTGCTGCTGCTGCTGAACCAATATGTGGTTTAACATAACCATTTGGCGTATTTATTAATTGATTATTTAAATATATATTTGTCAGACGTTTTCTTAATTTATCTTCCCAACACTAAAATACAAAAAAAAACTATATTTGATAAATATTTTATATATAAGATCTTTTTGCTTACAGCAACAACAACTGACACACCACAAAGAGCAAATGCATAAATAATACATAAAAATGCTATCTAGAAAAACAAGAAATTTGTCCTTAAAAATATATATCTATATATACAAATGGAGTCTATATTACTGTATTGGAAAATCTATGCCATGAATATCGATAACGAAGACTAAATATAATATGACTAAGAAATGTTATTAATGTTAAAATAAATATAATTATTAAAATAGCTTGATCAGCTTGCTTGATTATATAGGTATCAATGTCATAGAATGATGTTGAATCAGCATTACTCTACAACATAAAGATAAGAATATGATTGACGTATATGATTCAGTATTTTCTATTTTTTGTACATACTGTAAGTGTTATGTTATATTTAATTATATTCGAATATGAATCAATAAGTTGAGTATAACCAGTCGATGCTATACATACAGCTATAAAACCACCAGCAAGTAATATCTAATTTTAAAAAAAATTCATTCGAACGATATTTACTTTATATATAAGAAAAGAATCTATAGATTTACACTTACTAATTCAATAAGATTAGCAAAGCCAAGAAGTGAAACAATGTAATGTATGTCAGTCATTCTAGTAATTGACTGAGAAAAAGATGAGTACACTTAATGATATCTACTTGTAAAAGTCAATAAAATATCTATAAAGAAAAAAAATATTTTTATAAAATTCCTTTAGACGTACATATTTTTCAATTTTATGACGCAAATTTTATAAATTAAGAAGGATGTCGTTCTTTTCTTTTTCTCAAAAAGAAAAGACGTAAATTACTTAGCATCTATTATAGACATGAATGGGTATAGATAGATAGAAAAAAAAGAAAGAAACAGATTAAGTAGGAAAAGAGACAAAAAAAGAAAGGAAGATGCAAAGAACGAGATACAACAACGGAAGCTCATTATACTACAGATGAGAAAGAGGGAGAAGAAAGAAAAGAAAGTGTTATGGTTTATTCTATATTATCCACTGTTTTATGAATGATAAAGTCAAGTATAATATTCGAAAGTATCTATTTACAGGTATAAAATCATATAATATATACAACAAATTAGATTAGTATGATGCAAATGTCAATTCTTCATTCTCTAAACAATGCTATACGAAACTTCTTTCATCTCTGATTACATTTTAGTATAACATTTGTTGTCAACTATATAATGATGAAATTATCCTGTTCTTCCCATGACAGTATGTTATTCTGTTCATTGTTCAACGGAAATAATAAAAAGAGAATTATATCTTTGTATTTATGAAAAAAAAGAATAGAAAATATTCAGGGTTCATATCTTTTATGCTCATATTTTGAGAATCGTTTTTCTTACACTTCTTATATTTCCTATTAAAAGAAAAGAATATATAACCTTCATTTCTTATATTCAAGTATATAAATATAAATCAGCATTTACTCAGTCTTTTTTCCTTTCAAGAAGAAAAACAAAAAGAAATATTAGACAATCATAACAATAAATAATAAAATACACGGTTCATTATCGTCGTTATGAATAGAATATTCTAAGTATTTTAAATATTATTATTATAATACCGAGAAATGACATATATGCGATATCATCAATTTATATATACATATATATTATATCTACATCCGTAGGTTTATTCATTTTTTGTCAATGAAAACAATTATCTTTCTGTTACGTAGAAGAATAAAGAAAATTTTCTATTCATTTAGTTTTATGTTATTTTGACAGCTGTCAACATAAAAAAACCAGTATTGTATCTTTAAGATATACATAAGTTTCAACAGGACATATTTCATATATGTTTTATGACATAATTCAAATTTATTGAATAGTGTGAACTGATCCTATAAGAAATATAATCTAATGGTATAATCTTGATAAAAAATCTCTTAATTGATAATTGTTAGTGGTTTATTATTAGACATAGTTTTAATTATTTATATTAATAACAAGAGAATTTCAGCCTACTCTTCCTTCGCCAAAAGGGTATTCGCCATTGGCAAAAGTTCATGCGCGATTTGGCGTAAGTCCAGTGGATTTTCGCCTACTGTAATAACACGAGATTAGTGTAAAATGCATGTGACAAATTAGTTTAATATTATTGGACTCAGTATATTATAGTCTAAACGCCTCAATACAGGTACTAGGAGCAATTTTTATACACATGTAATCACATAACGACATTGGCGAAATTCGGGAATCCCAGAATTTTGGCTAAAGATGTTAAAAAAATCTTGTGAATAATTGAATTTATTTTACTATATCTATATGTTTCTTTTAATCCAGTTTATGAAAGACATTTGGTATGTGATTGATGACATTCTTAAAATGTCACTTTATTATATAATAAATGAGTTTCATTGATTAGTAAAATTTTATTTTCAACAAAGAATTTTACATGTTCTTAATTCGAATAAACTTATATAATAATGATTGAAAAACTATGCAATTGAGACTGTGATATTATATTATCGGCAGTATTATAGAATTGAATACAAGAACGTCTTTTAGAAACCACGAGTCAAATGTAATTGAAAAACTGTTCGATACTAGAATTTCTTGTTAAAAAGCATAAAATAGATACCAAGAGTACGAAAATAACTAATTGATTTAAACTTTTCAGGTAAGTATGATTGGCAATGAGTCATTGAAATTACAATTCGAATATGACGCTATTATATAATTATCTTCATTTCGTTTCGCAAATATTGGTAACGATAAACTTTAACTGTTTGAGTTTCCAGCACTTTTTTACAAAATTTCGAGTTTTTTATGAGAAATTTTACAATATGACCTTTATTTCTTTACAAAAAATTATGTACTGGAATTAGAACAAATATATCGTGTATCACGTTGAATATTATGGAATGTACCAAAGTTGTATTTCCTTAGAGACTGTTTTGATTGTGATATTTGTGGAATAAGTGAATGGAAATGTCAAAGGGTCAGACAAGTAGAAGAATCTATCGTAGATAGTCTTCTAATTATTTTAAGTCGAAAAATCAGATAAGTGGGAAGAAATATTGCTATAGATTTTATATACTGCCATATTGAAAAGATGGAAAAACAAGTAATTATATTAAAATGTACCAGAATAAAAGAATGTGTGTGTCATCATACACAACGAAAGAAAACTGATGAAAACCTGGATGTATGATACTGACAAGTAGAAAGGTAAGATAAATGATAAAAAGATCTTCTAAACAATGAAAGAACATAACAGACACATCAGGATATATATATATATACATCACTAAGACTCAAATGGTTAATCATGAGCTAATCAATACAAGTAATCCAATGATTGATGACGATCTTTTCCTTATTTTATTTTCAAATGTACTTCCTAAAAATAGACAATCTCTTCATATCACTATGTGTTCCGCACTTCTAAAACGGGAAATACAAATATGTATTTTGTGTCATTAAGAATAAGAATTCATACCGGATCTATGCTTTATTTCAGATATTGTCATAAGTAAATATCAGAGAATTACAGACTTTACTATTTTTCAGTTGTGCATTAATTATCTGCAATAATCTTTACATATATTTCGATAGAACTTCTTGGGTTCTAAAATTAATCTCGCAGGAAATAATAATTAGCATTATTTATTCTTTTTAAAACAAAACAGAAATATATAATATGAAGAAAAGAAAAAAACAAAAGATGTAAAATAATTTAAATATATTCCGATTGTTATTTAGTCTTTCTAATCATGATTGCACAATTTTCTCTCTACTTCCGATCCTTTTTGTTAGACTAATATTGTTTTTTTATCTCTATAAATAAGTTCAAATGCATTCAAGTCATTTTCTTGATTAACGACTGATCGATCAGATAGAAGAGAAAAAATCAAGAATGAAGTAAGTAACTTTATAGTTTAACATTACATGAAATTTTTCTTTTAGTTGTGTTTTAAATTGTATTTTCTTGTTGACAATACTTATCGTCTTCAATATTCAATTAAGTTCTACAACCAATAGTCGTCGTTCATGTCCTGAAGAATATCGTGAATTACGTCGTCGTAGCGATGATGATTCAAATTCCGATTCCAATGATGATGATGATGATGAACAAATGGCCGACATGTGCAGTGCAGCTATGGTTGTTGCAACTGAACAACCGAATTCTATTCAAAATCTTGAATTTCTACGTACTTATTGTGCACATTTTGATGAAGCTTTAGAATTAGCACGAGAAAGTAACGACACATTATGTGAAGACAAAAAACGTGCAATTGTTAAAAAAAGTTTACAACGAAGAGGAAAACGTGGACAAATGAAAAAGAAACGAAATGAGTATTCAAATGATAGTGATGAAGACAAACGACGTGCATTACGTAAACGAGAATTACATAAACGATTTGCTTTAAGATTTGTTCATAAATAGAAAATATCATTTTATGAATTAATAAAAAAAATTTCTGAACAAGTGTTTTATTTTTATCAATAAATCATTTACAAGTCTTAGTAATGCAAAAGATTATCTTAACTGTCCCGAAATAATTTATTGAAGAAAAAGAAATGAATAGAATATTATTTAGTTTGACAATAGTAAATTATTTAGTTTCATATAATGTATGATAGCTTTTGCATAATTTCTAGCATATGTACGTCGATTATTTCCTGCGCGAATATCATATGGTAATTCAGTTTGAATTGTATTAATTGTTGATTTATAATTACTTGTTATATAACCACCAGAAAAAAATCTTAAAGTACCTGGTTTAGGATTTGCTAATGATGGATAAGCAATACCAAGATTATTTAATTCAAGTGCTGTACCGAATGAACTATGACCACGAATACATTCTTCTCGATTTGAACTACATAAAGATTCAATTGATGTTGTGACTGATAATGTATTGAGATTATTCACATTTAATTGATTACTTGTTAGAAGATATCCAACCATAGTATAACTTTTAAAAAATTTATATTTTAGTTTATTAAACAAACAAAATCTAGTTTTTTTTGGTTACCTACTTTCCAGCTGAATGCCCATGTATATCAAGAAGTAGACCTTTACCAAAATTTTGATTAATTTTATTAATAGCTTGTTGAATATTTGAATGATAACTATGATGAGCAGCAATAGCTTCTGGATGATTTAATGTCGCTTCATTAATTTCTCGATTAAAATCAATTTTAATACGATTCCATTTACCAATAACAATAAATGGTTTAAGTTGATATTGTATATTCAATTCATTTGCAACATTTTCAGCAAATTCATCGCTAAGCGTATCTCTTACAGTTGTTGCATTGCAACGTTCTCCATCAGTACAAGTATCATTAAACCACCATGTACAAATACCAGCATTTGTACCTGTTTTACGAAGACAACCACCTATTGTTCGATTAGGTAGATCATCTGGTAGCAAAGTACCACCATGTGGTGCTGAAATAATAAGATTAACATTGCCTTGTTGATGGTGTTTACAAGATGATCGATAATTATCAAGAAAATTTAATGTTCCTTGTTCAATTGATGGATCAATAAAGAATAGAACTATAATGATCGATAAAGAATACCATGTAACCATATCAATAGAATATTGAAAAAATAATCAAATATTGAAATGAAAAGTACATATAAAAAATTAATCCTTTCTAATATTTAATCAAATATTGAAATGAAAAGTACATATAAAAATTAATCCTTTCTGATATTTAATCAAATAGAAATATCATTTGATTTATATTGATATGTCTCAAGTTCTACTGTTAATTGAAATGTTTTTTTTATAACTTGATCACTGTTGAGTCCGAAACGAGGGGGAAACAACAGAGACTTCATGCATGAAGTCTCATGAAGTCTTGAAAATCTTTTGAAATCTTAGAAGTCTTTCGAACTTTTGGAAGTCTTCTGAACTTTTGGAAATCTTTTGAACTTTTAGAAGTCTATTGAAGTCTTTAGAAATCTTCTGTAGTCTTTAGAAAGCTCTTGAAGTCTTTGAAATCTCTCGAAGTCTTCTGAAATCTTCGGAAGTCTTTGGAAGTCTTTTGAAAAATTGAAGTCTCGCTTGTTGAAGTCTCTTGAAGTCTTTGAAGTCTTGAAGTCTTGAAGTCCGCTGTTTCCCCCTTGGTCCGAAAGTAAACGATTTATAAATCATAAATTTTTCAATCGAAAATTTGAAATATTTATAAATATTTTGGGATTTATAAATCGGGCCTATTTATTAATAAGATCTACCTGATTTATAAATATATGGCCGATTTATAAATCTAGCTCGATTATAAACGAATATTGGATAAATAAATGCGAGTATATTGTATAAGCATCGGACCAATTTACGAGTTTTGAACTGATTGATAAACCAAAGTAATTAAATTATCTTTATTATTTTAAGTGTCAATATGAGTAAATAACATCCTCGTGGTGGAATATAATTTTACCAAATTTAAAAGCACTACTGTCACGAATTTATAGTAGACATTTAGACAGTTTTGAATTTCTGGACTTATCAATTTACCAATTTCGATCCTATTTATAAATCTCGGCCCGGTTTATAAATATTTTAAATTTTTACAATTTCTGATAAATTTAAACTTTTGTCAAAATCATTTTGGACTCAACAGTGAACTTGATACTATAATTTTATTGGTTTTAAATAAAAAGGCATCTACTTTTTAATTTTATAAATAATTTCAATTGTTCAGTAAATCGAAATGATTAATTCAACATTTAATACATTTAGAAACTATTCCTATTTTTTTTGTAAACCTGATAATAATCTATTTGCAAGGGGAAAAGTGCGAGCACCTGAGCTCCAAAAATAATGGTAGATGCTGAAGTGTTTGCGACACCTGAACGGCACTTCGTCCATTGTGAAAAAGACTATCAATTAAAAGAACAATAGAATATTATATAGTAACTATATTCACTTGGCACAGATGACTAGTGTTATGATCTTCACTTTTAAGTGATCATTTACATTTTGTCTCTGTAGTACTATCTTCTCTCTCTTTGTCGCTCTTGTGGTTTTCTGATTGTATATATAATGAAGTGATTCTTGAATAAAAAAACACAAGATCCAACCCGTACAAACGTGAAGCTTACAACTAGGATATAGTGAAGTAGAAGTCTGAGAGTTTAGAATTTTTTTATTCCTTTTCATCAAAATTCTTGTTAAATCATTAGAGTTAGTTCTAATTATACAATTACTTCAACTGGACTTTGTCTGACATTATCCACTTCATGATGAATTGAAAAATTAAACTTATTGTAATTAAGATCATAGATTAAGTACAATTCGGTTATCATACGATTAATAAACAGATAACTCAGTGAATATGTAATGTAAATTGATCATGCATATAATTAAAACAATAGTTTCTATTCAACTAGATGACCTTAAAAGAACATGATATGATTACTAATATGTCTATCACTTTATTCTTATCTTTATACATTTTTTAGAATTAGGAAGTAGTATAAATTACTCTTAAATTTGCATTTGACAAAAGAAGTAGCAAATATTATTTGATATATTTATTGCAATAATATCTTTACAATAATCAATACAAAAACGAAAGAAAAAAAATTTATGCTAGATTATTTATGTTTAATAAAATCAAAAAAAGTTAATCCTATACATATTTTTAAATTTGTATAAGAAAAAAAACAAGTCAGACTAGAACCATGCATTCATAAAAAATACAATAAAACAAAATTCTAATTTGACAATTTAAAGCAAAAAACGAGAAAATTATTTGTACACTACTAATTATTACTAAAAAAAGACCAAATTCTTCGTTTTATATTCATACATCTTCTTGCAATGGAATCCGTTCTTCTCGTTCTTCTCGTATTAATGTACGTGTATCAATATGTTTAAGACGTCGAGCATTTTTAGCTAAATTTGTTGTTGCTTCAACCATATCTTTAATTGCATATGATAAAGTATGAAATGCTAAAACATCACCAATCGATTGATTTGACACAAATTCTGTACGAATAAAACGATCATTTGCATATAAAAATTGTACTAACGATGCAAGCATTAAATCAACAGCATTACGTAATGATGGTAATGGTACATGATCCTCTTCGATGTTATCAAAACAAGAAAAACATCTATAATGATTTTTAACTAATGGTAATGATTCAAATTTTGGTACAATAAATAATGATGGTTCACGATTTATTGGTCGTTGATTTTTTAACAGTCTTGTTTCCTGTTCATCCGAATCTTCTCGACATAATTGCTGTAATTCATATGATCCAACATCAACAGTTGTTTTTTTAAGAATTAATTCTGCTGTTAATGATAAGACACGTTGAATATGATTTTCAAGTGTACGAATATGATCAAGTAATGGTTGATAAAGAATTGTATGAGCTAAACGAAGTGATGCAGAGGAATTATTCGATATAAGTGCTTTTTGTGGAAATTTTGGTGTTGAATGTGGTGAATAACTCATAAATATTGTTAAAGGTATATCAAGATCATCTTGTAATTGTTGTTCATTACGTAATTCTCGTATTGTCCATGAACGACCTTGTCTTGTATCAGTTGAATTACTTATAGCAGCAACACTTGCTCGACGTATTTGCCATCTAAATAAATAATTAAGTTGAGAAAAATGAAAATTCTTTTTTTTTGCAACTTACTTTGCTTCTTGAGCAAAATGTAATTTTGATTCAGCTTTTAAAATTGTTGTACATCGATGAACAAAACGTATATCAACACTGATACGACGTAATGATTTAGCTATTTCTTCATAACGATTTTTCATTTGTATAAATGGCCGTTTCCAAAAATTTGGTTCATTTAATGCTTCTTCAAGTAACGTGGAAAAACTATCGGCAATACGTTCTGTTTCACCAAGAGTTTTGACTAAATTAAATGATGATTTATTTGATGACTTTTGTTGTTCTGTCATTGTTGGACCAATAAATGTAAAAAAATCATCAGTAGAAGCTTTTAAACTTGCAGATACATTATTAATCATAATGGATACCTAAATAATCACTGATTTCAAGAAGAAAAAAAGAAGTTTCTAAGATTATCCTACTTTTTTTTTAATTATTGCACGAGCTGTTATTGGTAGGAAAAGATTAGAAATAAAAACATGAATAAATATACCTAAAAATGTTAAACTTGTTCGAGCTAAAACAGCTTTATTGGATGCACTCATTTGTCCTTGTTGATTATTAGAAAGAAATGTTATAATTGACGCTGATTGAGCACAAACACTAGCAAAATATTCTTTTCTTGGATCAGTTTTAAGATATCCCATTAAACCAACAAATATACAAATACATGCTCCAACAGCAATATGATTTTGTGTAACAAGTATAACAACATATGCATATGTTGAACCAAGTAAAACAGCCATTAAACGATGAAATGATAGACGAAGTGTACTACCTTCAGATGAATCGGAAACAAGTGCTGTTGTCATTGGTGCCCAATAAACCCAACCATAGGCTTGTAAACGATCACGAAATGTAAAAACAACAATAGCAGATATAAGTACACTTAAACATGTTTTAACTGAACGTACAACTTTACCAAATGATGGTCGAATACCAATATAAGCAGCAAGATCAAGAAATGGTTG